GCCATCAGTACCTCAGCCTTTTCCATGTCCTGTGTAACCAGGTCCCCTGTCTCGTTGAGCAGTGAGCTTCCCCAGTCTTCCTTTTGTCTCTCATGTACTTATAGAAGCCCTTCTTGTTGTCCTTCATGTCCCTGCCTGGATTCAATTCCATCTGGGCTTTAGCTTTCCTAACTTCATCCCTGGATGCTCAATGTTTCTGTATTCCTCCCAGTTTACCAGTCGTTGCTTCTACCCTCTGTATGCTTTCTTTTTGTGTTTTGAGTATTACTAGGAGCTCCTTGTTCATCCACACAGGCCTCCTGGCATTTTTGCCTGACTTCCTATTCCCTGGGATGGACTGCTCTTGAGCTTGGAGGCGGTGATCCTTGAATATTAACCAGCTTTCTTGGGTCCTCCTTCCCTCCAAGGCCTTATCCCACGGGACTCTTCCAAGCAGATCTTTGAAGAAGCCAAAGGCTGCTCTTCTGAAATTGTTCCAAAAATCTTTCCAGCTGTCACAGGAGCTTGGCCCCAACATAAAAATATAACAAAAAAGACCAGAATCCTTTTTATGCAAAATGCTGTACACCAAAAGGACCAGAAAGCACAGCAAGTAAAAGGACAGAAACAGTATGGATTTTGACTCACATGTTCCCATCAGATAGTTTGTGGAAGCTAAAGCCTTCATACAGCAAAGAACATAAATCTGCTTATAACCTAAATGCAAATTCTTCTAACAATGTCAACAGGACATTGTTGCTACTTGTGCTTCAAGCTAAGCACACTTTTCTATGCACTGATGGACCAAATGAATTAAAAAAAAAAAAAACAAAAACAAAAAACACACAGATCTACTCCAAGATCAGTAGGAGAAAAAAAAATTTTGTTATATTGGTCATCTATCTGAGGGCACGTCCTTTCTGTACTTAAAGAGATGAGCACAGCTCACTAACACGGTTCTGTAAAAATACCAATGGCAAGTCACTTCCAAGGACAATTCAGAACCACCTTCCAATTTTTTCTTAAGCTTCTGTTAGCAGGAAAGACAAAAAGACAGAGGATAAGGTAACTAGGCTACAAAACTTGTGTGTTTCAGCCACGCAAGATAAATCACTGCTGCCTTCATTTTGACCATTAAGCATATTTTGAATCTGATACAATGCAAAGAGAAGTCAGTAACACAGATTTGGATTAGATACCTTGGGAAATTCAGGAACTGAAACTAAAGCATTGAACTCGCTTGTTACTCTTGTACCTTAAGAACCAAACTAATGCAAATTATACTTATGCTTTCCCCTCAACTTTTAATCTGAATTTCAGAAACTTTTATATAGTGGGTTGTTTTTTTTTTTTTCATATGAGCTGTACTGCTAAAAATTTCTATTTCTGCATTACCTAGGGAGCTCTGGGGATGATAAATGTAAAGACATATGCACTCCTTTCCACTTGTAAGCTTATTTAGGAGCAATTTAAGAATTTTCGTTCATACAATTTAATTTCAGTATTTTATGAACGTTTATTTTGTCTTATCTTCCCAGCAGATTACAATGCAATCGTTATTTGACTTTATAACACCATTTTAATCTGCCATTACTGTAGAATTTAGCTAAAACTGAGATTTACTAGCGTAAAAATAGTTACCTATGAGCAACATGTCAGGTCCAACCCCTTCAAAAAGAGAGAGACATAAATAGAAGAAATAAAACTTTAGAACAGCTGTAAATAACATATGCTAGTGGGAATACTTTAGTATTATCCTCAATGCTGTATGAGGATTTATTATTTCCATTTACAGATCTAGCCAGCAGTAATGTTAAAACAATATTTTATGTGCTACTTTCAATTTATCCCCCCTTTCTTCTTCATATAAAATGTGACAGAGGTAGCTGATTGCAATAACAGATTAGTAGCAGCTCACCGCTTTGTTTCAGTTATGCTGCTGCTTTCCACTGAACTAGAAAAAGCACTCCTGCTTTTGAATTATATCTGTTACTTGAGACAATAACGCCATAAATGTCCAGATATGTGGCTTTTCTACTTCATAATTTTAATGTCTACAAATGTTTTCATTTTTCTACTGAAAACTATTACCACTTGAATTAAGAAGTAAGTTTAGCAAAACATAAAAGTATTGTTTAGCAACTTCAACTTCATACAAACTAACACGATGTGAATGATCTTTCATTGTACAAGGTGAAAGAGCAAATTCTACAGGCTTCCTTTGAACAACAGGGTATCAGAGGAAGCA